TCCGAACCATTTCAAGAGGGTACTTCTGTTTTCAGTACATTTTATAAATTTACGTTTACACCTTGTGCGCATTTTGTACTCAGCTAGTAGGTAGTCAAGGCAATTTGTAGCTGAAAAGAGGATGCTTCCGACTACATGGTTGTACGTGTCTCCCCCTTTGGTACTAAAGCACTCAGGCATCTGCTACGTGTCTCTTGGCTAGTTGCTCCGAATCAGAGTAAGGTGAATTGCTGGGTGAAGGGAATAAGATGATGATGATGATGAATAAGATGATTTAAAAGGAAAAAATTTACGCCTTGCTGTGCACATGAACTGGGCACCTGAAACGTGTTAAACTATTAACCCATTGTGCCATCACCACCCAACCTAGTACAATCACATGCAGGCGTGGAAGACAATAGCTGTCTATTTCAAACACATTAGCGCGTGTACATGAAAGAATGACTGAGAAGCATGCTTTGAAAAATAATAAAAATTTTGGTGGAGAAAGATTAGCCCCGTTATCATGGGTTTACTAGAAAACTGTGAGTTTTCAATACACTCAGAATTTTTATAATATATGTCTACTGATCGAGGGATATGTGAAAATTCGCTGAGTATGCCCGTTTGAACAGGGCAAGGTAGCGGACAGCTCTCGATGTCATGACAGGCAGCAGGTGTTATCGATCTACACCTCGATATACCACTACCCTGTGACGAGTATAACTCAATAGTGGTTTTTGCGCTCTTCTTCCACTATGATTATCGACGTATGAACAAAACCAGCATTAAATAAAAATCCAAAAGTCATCATCTGACCATACTGTCAACTGCATAACGCCACTGCCGAGGTTTTACCAGAGGACTGGACAAATGAACTGATTACATAGCGATTAACAGAAAAGGACATCAATAATGATAGCAAAAAAGTATTATTACCCTATCGCTCATTAAATATGGGCGCGAAGCGATGTACATCATTTAATGTTGGCTGTTTTTGTTTGACCAAAGTGTCGTAGTTTTGCGTCCATGAACTGCAGGAGTTAAAATGCCATGGAGCCGGGATCTGCTTATATAGTTCCCTAGGCTACTGGAAGTAAGGAGCCGGTGCGACTACGCCGTGTGAACTCGGAGAAGTGAAGCGATGGTTTCGCAGTGAAGCAATATTTTAATATCTTGGACAGGACAGCCGCTTACTGACCTTATAACATAACTTGGAACATCTTCTTCTTGAAACTTGGAATATAACAATAACAATACAGTTAACTCCTAAAGAAGAGCCATGATGCAAACGCGCCATCAGCATTGTCAAACAGTGCTGGCCCTTCCTAGCCGTTGCGATTTGTCCTTTTTCAGATATTTCTGCGCCTGAGAGCGTGACGAATGGCGAAGGGTGACGAAGCAGTGGTTTGATTGAAAAAAGCGCGGATATGCGGTTATTATCAGGTGCTATTACGTAACTGTAAAGCAGGACAGCGTTTATCGAGAAAGAATGCTGGGAGAATACTAGAAAATGAACAACCTTAACGGGGCAAGGGCGGCACAATGCTTCGCGGACCAAAAACGGCTGTTTGAAAGGAAAATGCTACTGAGAAAATGGGAGCTAGATGAGATCTGAATACCTTTTGACAATGACATCACTACACAAGAGGATCAGTCAACGCAATATATTAGAGAAATACATCCAAGAAAAAACTGATCGAAATGGCTGATACAACAGAAGCTACCCAGCTGACAGTCGGCAAGAGATCTACTAACAGTTAAGATGCTTTAAGAATCAAGAAGTATACCTCTTATTCGAGAAAAGGAACAGCTGCGTGAATGTATCAGTCAATGTAACAGTGTTTTGAAGATGAAAATAGCTAATAAAATGGAAAGAATTGTCACAGCACAGTCATGGAGTCAAATGCTAAACAATGTTTGTCGCTGGTAGTCACTGATCGCTGTAACATGCCGTAACAAAAGTAAGGGAGACACAAGTTTGACAGATAAATTAATCGTATTTTCACTTAATGCATCAGTACATGGTTTATGTTCCAAAGCTGTCGAATAATTTTTGAGGATTCACGCAGAAACACGACTGAAAACTGCAAAACCGAATTGCGTCAAAATTACTTCTAGGAAATGTCTGCTATTAACAGAGGATGAAAAAAATCAATCATCACAAGACACACGTAAAAGCAGCACGCGCAACTAAAATATAACAACTGTCATCCTTTGCAAGAATCAACCATGACCAAATATCGAATACGCGATCGCAATAAGTAGCGTCTAACGACCACAGGCAATGATGCAATATCACTGAACATCGTAAAGCCCATAGCGCAAATGATCTTACAGTGAAGCTCAATGAAGCTATTCAGTCGTATAATACCTGAGCATTACTTCACAGTATGATCGCATCGTTTGGCGATGCGATCGTAAATTGTAGTGTGATTGTGTAATCGTGAGATCTAATATCCTTCCAGTAATCGTCAAATCCACGAGATGTAACATTTTTGTTTTCCTTGCAATGACAAGGGAATACAGGCACTTAGAAGAAGAATTTTCGTGCTTCATGAAGTTTTATTCTACCCGCATTTATCGCTTCAAGCTGTGGAAGCTTTATAAGGTTTTCAGCTACTGATTTACTCTATCTCCCATTTGGTTTTCTTCAGCCTTTGTCAACTTCACTATGAGGATGTGTGCTGCCCACCAGTTTCAAATGCTAAAGAATGACTGACGTTTGCTTTTCCTTATCAGATGCACAGTGAACTGTCTTATTTGGCATGTGTGCATGCAAACATGAGACACGGACTGTAATCGCATTTGTGTGCACATGAAGTCACGTTGTCTCCGCAGCATTTAGCGGACAATCATTAAGATATGTGGGAAATGGGAAGACAGCGCAGAAAGTATTCTTCAGTTAAGGGCATCTGATGTTTCGTTAAAAACTCGGTCTGACTTTAGAGTAAATTGAGAATGGACTGTAGTATTTTCATGCGGGTCTTTTTCACCAGCATGATTAGTGGTGCGTTTTTGTTTTGTAGTCTTAAGCGACCGTTCGATGTTTCTGGTTCATGTGTCGCATACGTCTCTTCCAAGGTCAAGAGTGATGCATTTGGATGCGCGGATCAATAACGCTTCCTTGACTTTAATACCAACCGAGAGCGAAAACATGCAGGTAGAAATAGAAAATCTTTCCACAGGGAGTTGAAATCGTACTTTGAGTTGAACTGCTAGAGAGGAGCTCCAAAATCCAGGGTATTGAGCAGGACTGACGAAATGCAAGAACGAACATAAGACCAACTGTTGACAGTTGATACCTTAAGAGTGCTTAAAGTTGAAAAACTAAATAACAGCCTAAAGGAAATGGCTCCTTTTCAGCATTATAATTAAGGAATTAACGTCTCCTTTCAACATCGCCGCGACTCTACGTTTTGTAGTGCCATAGCCGATGGTTCTTCATCTTCATAGTTATTGAAATCCGGAGGAACCGAAAGTGTAATTCGACAATACTTGCGGTCACAAAGGCTACGAGTTGAGCTCTTACTGTTACATTACGAATTATATTTTACAAAGAAACGGCTGTGCTGTTAGCAAACCTTACTATGGCGAAGATGCTCTTTGTTGTGCCTAACAAGATTTTATTGCTTAAATAATCCTGTTAGAACACTGATGGACCTGTTGCGAATTTAATTTTTTAATTTTGTTTAGATTAATTTGGGATTTGAACATGCATCGGCTACTACAATAAGAATTACTCTAAAGGGAATGTTTATATTACGTATATTCATGTGAGAAGTAAATCAATCCCGCTTCAAATAGAATTGGAAACTTCTGGAAGTGGACAATAAAACCCTAAGGTGGAAACGTGAAATGTCGTCGTATCTGAAATATCGAAAGAATTATTGGCTGCGCATATAGAATTTATGTAGATTTGTACATCGTGTGACCGCCTTTTAGCAATCCGATTATAACAGTCTTCTTCAGAACTTTTCTGCGTTCAGTTTTGCCTGAATTCGGCTGACTGTAGTATACAAATGTAAAAAATTTTTTCATGCCTTGAATGCGATTCGAGGCCAACGGAGTGGCGCATTAAGGTATCTGTTATGCAATTCACCAATAAAAAGTTGCCTGCAAAACGGATGCTCTAGGTTTTTTGGATAACCTAGTTTTGGAAAATCTCGTTTCAGACATCATTTGTGCTGCATACTATGCAAAAGTACCCGGATTACCGAAATGTTTGCATCCTCTAACGTTTCGTTTTTAAGTCGGAACGATAGATACTTATTTTACTCATTTACTCATGTTTAATTTAGCTAGTTAGCCTTCGTTATTTTGGTTTCTTAGCATAAATACGGGGCATGAGGTCTCTTCTTAAATACGGGGCATAATCACACAAAGTAACGACGCTGTTGCAAGCGAATTGTCCTCATCGACGTGAGCTAGACGTTCTGGATAGAGTGGATGGATTGAGACCCTCTCGCATGATGGAGTGAGTCGGCCAAGGTGTAGTAAATTTGTATCGTATTATGTAATATTCTGTAAATTTACTGAGTCGGTTGGCCGTTGCAGTTCTTGCTTCAGTTATAGCTATATACACTGAGCCGGGATCTTGTATGCTCTTAATTCATTAGTGAATCAAGCCTTGCATTGAACAATTTCGGGAAGTCTAATTTTGTTTAACTCTTTATGTAATGATTACGAGAAAGTCATCGCACACATTTTCATTAACCTGAACGGACTATTTCTTGACTGAAATCACTGACACGATATTACGTATGTAATTAACAGAAAAGAGAAATAAAAAACATGGCCCAAGATATTCAGGTACCAAACAAGGACAACGACGACTGCCGCTCTCGAAGGTGTCAAGGTTTACATCTGCCGACGAATCTCGGATAAAGGCACGCGTCTCTGATGTGGTTGCGACCGGTCATCCAAACCAAGAACCTTTCCAAGCCTAAACCGTATCCGCCATGGGCACAGGAACCGTACTTTCTCTGCAAATAAAAGTGAAAATAGGTAAAGCAAGCGCTCGAATTTTATGAGGTACATATTTGACGAAATTTGGGTATCTTAATGAGCTTTTCGGAACGTACGCGACGAAAGCAAATCATCGCTGCTTCGTGAGAAACACGATAAACAGCTTGTTCTGTAGGATAACACCGGGATTCTGCTGTAGCTGCTATGGACTGAATCAAATCTACTTAATATCATTAGTTGCCCACAGTTAGAACAGCGACCGTTGGGTAACACTTCATTTAGGCCGAAATTGCTTAGTCAGCACAGCATCAGACTCAGAACCAAAAGGTTCTGAGATCGAACCCTGACGGGGCCACTTTCCCTTTTTCTTCTGGGGTTGATAAACTGGTGCCACACCGTGCGAAGGAAAGAAGAAACTACATGCTATGCCTGCCAGGCTGCTGTC